ATGACGTTTTGCATGAATCAGTCACGACTTTATTAAACACATTTAATTGTATAAAGAGAAAGTGGAATTCTCATTAAACGCTGCTTTCTACAAACCTCTTAGATAGTCCTGCCCTTTGTTTTATTGCGTACGATTGTTTGAAATCTCATTTATATTCTTTAATAGATAATTTATATTCTTTGGTATAGCTTTTCTCACAACTATATCTTGAAAACTGGGTTTTGGAAAGCGATTGCCTGTTTCATTTCTCTTCGACTCTTCTATCACGTTAATTATGGTGGTTGAGAGAACACATTCTGAATAGGGAGTCGAAATAGTGTCTGTTTATTTAATATCGGAAGGCTTCCTAGTGTGGCTGGCCAAAAGTTCATGTGGTTTTCATTGGTGGCTCCCGGATTTTACATTCCGACCTCCGCCGCGGAATTAGTAGATGACTGAATCAGTTTCGCGGTATTGTCGAGTAATCCACCCCGTTTGCACCATCTGTTCCATAAGCTGATCATTTCTCACTTAACCAATCATTCCCCGTCACTTCAGTCGACGTTTCGATATCCCAGGGAATACCAATGGGGGAAAAAATCGAAGGGTGAGAGGACGCTCGGGGCAGTTCCTCTTCATCCATCTGACATGTATTTAAAAAATTATTATGCATTTTTTGTCGGGTGTATAATGAATGAGACGCTTCTCCTTGGATGAGAACGTGGTTCTGGCATATATGACACTGGAACGCGAAAGAATGCACTGCATTTGCTCTAATTGAAGTTTGGAAATAAACGGGAAGTTTCGGTTGCGCCCCCCCACCCCTGCGGTCCAACCGTAGCTAAACAACAGCACGAATCTGGTCTCCATAATTTTTTTGGGCGTTTGGTTTTGTGGAGCCCTGCGATGTGGTCGCAAAATTACACGAACGGAAGCGTGCGAGAATTCAAGAGATTCGTAATATACAGCATTCCAGAAATTTAGATTTGAAAGCGAGAAATTGCAGAGAGTTTCAGGGGTCAGCATCACCCTTACTTCGCTCAAATTACGCGCATGATATTTGCGGTTTTTCGTTGAGCAGCGTGCATTCCACGAAGCTGCCGTTGTCACTCAATTGTAAGTGGCGCGGCAGAGAGATATTGGCATTCCACTTGGCTGGCCTACAAAGAGTTTATTTTGGGAACGGAATGCCGGGAACTTCTCGTATAGAGAGCACCTACTACTACAACTTCTCATTCTCGAACTCTTGTTCTCCCAGGTATCTCTGGAAATATTTTGCTTAACCGCGTGCTCCTCTGTTACATTATGTGTATTATTGTATTATACAATATGTGTATTATTATTTAACCTTACACATGATACATAAAATAATAGTACTACTAATTATTATTATTAGTAGTATTATCATTATCATCATAAATTAGTTTGAATAATTCATAGAATTTCGTGACCGCTCGCGCCCATGGCTTTATGTGTTACTTCGGAAAATGATATATGCGCGCTAATGTTCATGTACGATCATGTGTTTGCACCTTGGAAACTATTATTTCTATTTTGTATATCTTGTTAGGGAAATTTATACAGAAGCAGGAGGATCATACAGGAATTAGGAGGATTTATACAGAAGCAGGAGATAAATCATGGTTAAATACTTCAATTAATTTTTATATTTATATATAATTGATTCCGTTTTGAAATATAATGGATGAAATACCCTTGACTATTTGCTTGTGTGAGTTATGAAGTCTTGTTTTGAGCCTACTGAAGCTTTGTGTTGTACAAAACGTTTTCCCTCTTTTCTATGCAAATATATGCTTTCAGCCAAGAATGTTGGACGTTTGACATGCGTATCATTGATCTCTCTACAATATACTTACATTTAGTTGCGTTATAAAAAAATGTTGAAGTCAGAAACCGAAACAAAAAACAACAAACATTTTAATCCAGTTGTCTAGGCATGAATAAATCATTATCGGCGTTTTTTAAAAATAATTTTACAAAACTGTGTTGTGAAGCTACTTTGTACAATTCCATTAACCTCATCAACAAACAGGATGATTTCCCTTTTTTTTAGAATTAAGAAAGTTTATATTTTGTATCTTACCTCTTTATTTACGAAAATGTTATGTTGGATGTAGGAGATTGTATTGATTAATTGAAATTTATTCTGTCATTGCACAACACAGGGTAAATGGACATGGTTTGCCTGTGCTTGTAACGTTCCTTTCGACCATGATCATGATCTAGAATGTTTAATTCCTGTTGTTTTGATAATATAGTTTACTGAACTTTTGATCCCTCTTTGCAACGTTTTATATATTCTATTCTATTCTATTCTATTGGACGGAATTAGGCAACGCGAGATTATTTTGCCAAATGAACAATGTCATGCCAATGGGTTTATATGATTGCTTGATTTGCTTCATTTCTAGAGTAGCAATTTGGAACAATTGAATGCGAAACATCTGTCAAGTATCACAAATTCCTACCATAAGTTCAGCATGTTAAAACGAAAACTTTTTACTCCCCTGGCTGAAGTTCGGACATGATCTGCATCATCAAAAAAACGATACACAATGTATTTTCGTCGTTCCTAGTATTACGGTTCACAGACTAATTACATGTGATTAACTATCTTTTGCTTAATTCCTAGAAATAACGCGTTAATTTCATTAATTTACTTCTAAAATTGATTTCGTCTACTTCTGGAAATATAATTTAATTTTTCATTTTTTAAACTGCTAAGCATTTATTTGAGCCCTTAATGCAATCCTGAATGCTTCATTGTGTGGAATTGTCGAAAATAACATGATTTAAAACGAATTTAGATTTTTCTGAATGCTCCCCCTTCTGTTTATTTTAATGGGTACTTTTGTGGGGCTGTGGCTTGTTACAATACTTTTGCCACCCCTCACGTACTCTCCACGCGGTCCGCCACGTGGTCGTTGAAACAATAGAACGTTATAGTATAGTAGTACCGTGACGTAACGACTTGATGGTCTGGGGTAGGGGCAACGCCCGAGAGAGGGGGTATGACGTAACCGGAATAGCGAGGGAGGGGAAGGGAACAAAGTTAGGGAAGCGTGGTGGGGGGCGCGAAAGAGGAGGGGAAAGCGGACTGCGTGATATGTTTAAACTAGAGACGAACATAGGGAGGGAGAGAGATGCCCGGTTTAGTGACCTTGCCCCACTCACACGCATACACGCATACACGTTGATATATGTATGCACGGTTAGAGAGCCGCGGTCTCACACACACATACTCAGAGACACACTCGCAGGGACAACACAGTGAGCCTATGGTTGTTGCTTTTGTGAATGGACGGGTCTTTCCCCTCTCCTAGTGAGCGCCGAGCTTATGTGTACGCGTGTGTGTGTATATAGTATATCTATTTTGTGTGGCCGTGTAAACATAACCGTAGTGAAAAATGTTCTCGGCGCAGCGTCAACTTAAAAAAAAAAAAAATTAAGCCTTTCAGAGAGGATAGCAATGTAAATTTGTACCGCCGTAATTAAGTGATGGTGTATTCATTGGAGCAGTTTATCGCAGGGCTGAAGATTATATTTGTTAGTTGTGCGAAGAAGGTGAAATTTAGGAAGTGAATTTGAACCATGCGTGGAGTTTTTGTTGATCTCTTTTTAACGAGACGCGTATGGCTTTTGTGAGTAGTAGTCGACCAACAGTGATCAGGACTGCACTGCGAGGGAACACGGCGTAATTTTTGTGTCGTTAAAATTGTTTGCTCAATAACCATTAATTGTACCAGTGGCGAACATGTCATAACTCATTGTTCGTCACATCTCGTGGTGACAGTAAATTACACCGAGTTTTCGAAATTCACTGATGTTCGCTTTAGTCACGAAAGAGAAAAATAATTTGCATTAACATTTTGTTGATTGCTTCTATAGCGTGTAATTTTTTTTGTACAAATATAAAGGATTGACAATGCCTTTTTTATTCAAGCGTTTTCGAAACTTCCTTTAATTTTAATCGGTTTTAAAACTGCATTGTATTCCTGCTGCGAATCAACTATCCAATACGATGCGAGTTGCACTTTAATTGGCACATTTTATTTAGTAAGTCCATTGTTTAACATTGCTCATTTAAGTTGATTTTTTGAATTATTTTGTTATTTACAATATTCTTTGCCTCTTATGTGATCCTCTAAAGTTTTACGGCATTAGTAAATCCTTTCTTTTGTGTTCAAAATACTTTTGTAGAACCATATAGCCATATGTGGCCATAGCCGTATGTAACATTATTATTATTATTATTATTATTATTATTATTAACATCATCAACATTGTTGTTACTATTAGTGAATACGCGAGTCCTCTCAAATCATGGAGCAAGTGGCTAAATCGATGTTCGTTGTACTTTACAAAAGGCCTGCTTGTTGAATCGTAACCTTCGCTCTTGCTTCATACTATTCATTTTCCTTTTTCTTCCGCCTGTGCTTTAAGGGATCGCTCGGAGAGCTAGGTAGGAGTTCCTCAGGTTGGCGTGCGCTCTCACGTCTGCACGCTTTATCATCCATCGCGCCCTTATTTGCTCGTGCAAAGATCACCTGTGGAGAAGAAAGTAATCTGCAGATTTTTTTGCCCTGACAATTTACGCAAAATGGAGGCGTCTATAGGAGAAAACTAATAAAATAATGACATTTCATTGCTTTGGGAAGTTATCAGTTTTTTGTTGCTTTTTTTAAGTATACTAAACGACTGTAGGAGCAATTCAAGCGAGTGATGTAGCACTTTTTCGTTTACATATACTTTTATTGTATTTTTTAAGATATCCTATGCTTTTGAGAAAAGCGTCTACCAACGTTGAAGGTAACTCATTCCCATTGGGTAACTTATCTATTAAACCCGCCCACTAATTTAACAATTATGGTTTTGTGCCGGTGTTGCAAACGCTGTTTTGCCACCGTAGAATGCTAATGTTGACGGCGAGACAGGGCGTGAAAAGTTTGCCCGACCGACGCCCGCTTTGACTAATACGTGTCTTCTCTCGTGTGTTGCAGCCTACTGGCCCAGAGGCGACTCAGCCGCCGCTGCCGCCGCCGCCGCTTCAGGGGGTAGGTGTCTGGCCGGCGCGCCGCCGCCGCCGCCGCCGCTGCCGCCGTCCCCCGTCACCCGTCACGGCTGCGGTGTTGCCCACCCCGCGCTCCGCGTCTGCTCGCCCCCCCCCCTCCCCCTTCCCAAAATCTCACTTATCGCGATCAGTTTTTTCGCCCCTCGTTTTGCTATATGTAGCCTCACTGTGGCTACGCCTCACTTTGGCTACGAGCACGTTTTGTTGAGCTCTGCTTCTACTAGTCGTGTTGAAGTAGAGTCGGGGATTCTTTGTTCCTGATTTCTTAGCAATTCTATAAAATTAAATTTGCAATTCGTTTACCGATGTTCTATGGCCTGGGGGCGAAAATATCTAGTTCTTCAAATGTTGATAACCACTTTGTGGCTACGTTTATTCATCATTCAGTTAAGTATAGTGAAAGGAATGGGATTCCGGAGTTCAAGAAAATGTGCGCAGACATTACTTCTCCCCCATACGCCCCATACCCCCGCCGGCGATCGTTGTTCCCCAACGTTCATCCCAGTTCACTCTCCAGAGTGTAAAGACCCTGTGGAGGTCTGACGTGCCCTTTCTCTGATTTTGACAATTTATGTATGTATCCTTGTTTATATAATATTTTTAAAGTATTGAATGGATAATTAAGTTTTAGTTGCAGTAAAACAATTTAAAGGTCAATAATTTAAATTGATATAAGTAACTCCTTAATTAAGAAGACTGTCCCTTTGGGAGTGATCTTTAAACGAATTTAATGCCCATATATTGCCTTGTAGGTTGCCACGTATTAAATTTGCTCGCCGAGATGTCCCTCGTTTAAAGGGGGTTTCGGCAAAAACGTGTTTGCGAATTTTTTTAATAAAAATCCTACAAAACATTTGATAAATAAAGCAAAGGTTTTATTAACTATCGATAGGGTGACGACAGATCTGGAAAAGTGGGAGTTGCCAGGGAGTATGTTAACTGAAAAAAAATAAGGGCTTTTTATTTCCTACGAATTAATTTCAAAGTAATTAAAGTAAGTACTTGTTAATTGAAGAGGTGAATAGAAATACTAAAAAAATGTTTTGAGAAAATGGGCTTTTTGTCGAATATTTTAATGTTTGATTTGTATCAAAAGTACCTATCTCTTCAATGGTGCATTTTGCATTCTTGTCACGCTTACTTATGTGAACACGCGTGCAAAGATCTGTCAAGGAGAGCGATCTGTTGCGCGGAGCCCTTATTGATGATAGGGTCGTTCTATGTAGTCTAGCGCTGACGGATTACTGCAGCCGCCGGCAGATTGTGAAAAGTATTCAGTGCTCGCTGTGTATTCGCCAACAATCCCTTTGCCCCAACGAGTCTCCTCCAGCTTGTGGTCATCATCGATATTTTCAGTTTCACGAGATGATGCATTTTCTTCAAACTTTTCTTTGTATATTCAAAAGTAAATGAGAAGGGTCTTCCAAGGAATTAAATTCTATGCACAATCGATGAAATTCCAGAAACTCGTCTTTTTTTAAATTAATGCTTCCATGCCTTTTTCCTCCTTTCTCCTCGACAGAGCGAACAGAAGAACTATAACTTCGCCAGTGAAGGAATTCTATAATTTATTTTAAAATATTTTAAAATATTACAAGAATATATTACGTTGTGAACTAGGACACAGCTTCTCCATTTTAAATTGCTGCGATTTGTTTACAAAGCTGCAGTGGACTGCTGATGCTTCCTCCAGTCCGCGCTATTTGCAGATCGTTAAATTGGTTTGAGTATTAGGGTATCTTTGAATTAATTTCAAAATAGCAAGGGAATTGAAGAAAAGAGAAAGAATTTGTATAATTTACGAAAACGTGCACAGAAAAACGATACAGAGTTTTACTATTTTTGACGTCACATAAATACATAATTAAAAAAGGGAAATCGATGTTGATCTTTGAGAAAAACCGAGGAAAGTCGATAAATTTTGTTTGCAAATTTTGTCAGCACGCAAACATTTGATTATATAACTTTATAAAAAAGTATTAATATTTTTCAAGCATATTGTACAAAATTTATTTGAATGTTTCTTTCCGTTATACTCTTACTAATCTCTTTAAATGTTTCTCAAAAATTCGCACCGATGACTTAATTGAAATTTGCGGAATTCTCTTTCAAACTGCTCTGTCCTTCGTCGTTCACCATTTGCTCTTAACCCTCGTTACCTCCATCACTTGCCTGCTGTTTCGAGACCAGTTTCTGCGTTCCTCCGCCGTTTGTTCACTTCCGCCGTTTATTATGCAACCCTTCAACTCTTTTAAGTCTCCCCTCCATGCTTCATCGATTTTCATCACCCCGTACGTCATCTCCACAAACATACGTTCTACTAATGACCAATCTTCATGCCATTTAATCTCTAATCTGTACTCTGTCATTACCTGCTCTCGAATTGTCATTTACCATCCCCATCTATCTCTCTTTCATTATTTATTTTGTTTCCTTCTGCTCTTCTGTCGTTTAACCACATTTGCCCACTCTTGCCTTTCACCTCTCTTCTTATTTCTTCTCGCCCTTTGTTAGTGCCCCGTCACCTCTCTCCTTATTCCCTCTCGCCTCTCCGAACAGCCCGTACTGTGTCTTGTCTTTCGTCAGCCAACACATTATCGTCGTATCTTTTATTTACTTTTGCTATCACGTATATTTTTTTGCCCGCATTGCGTTTTCTCTTCTTATTGTTCCACATTTATTAGTTATATTCCAAACACCGATACCATCCTTTCCTCATCTGATTTTTAATTCAGCTATTTAGTCATCAACCTTTGTTTTCGAATACCCACTCCTTTGGCGATAAACGCGGAAAACGTCCCAGTTCCCTGAACCTATAGCTCCTCCCCCTCAATTCTTGCTTCTTCTTTTCGTTTATCATTTTTGCTTCCTAGTCTTCCTTCACCGCCCCCTGTGACATCCGTCCTCAGACGTACAACCGTGCTACACGCGTTCTTTTACCCTTTGCCCTTTGGGCGACTCGCTGCTTTGGCTTGTGCTCCTCTGCCCTTTTACCTTCCTCTTGATCTCTGTTTTCGCTCGGTCTCGTTTGTTTTGGCGTGATGTATTAAAAATTTTGTTTTCGAGGGGAGAAACACAAGTGTGCCGCTGGACGTGACGTCGATGTACGCGACGTTGAATCTATGATCCGGCCGACAGGTTTTGTTTTACCGCTGCATTGGTGCCACGTGCTGCGATCTGTCCTGAAGTACCGAACGGTTTTGGGGTAGGCGGGCACGGGTTCTGTAAGTTTGTGCTGTTCAAGGTAGTCGTTCTTTTTGAATGTGTTGTAAATTTTGAAAGTTGTGCCTAGCGCGGGTAGAAGCGCAAAAAAAAGGTTCTATAGCGTGAAAAGCAGATTCCACGAAATGTGCCTAAAAATTTGTTAACCCATGAAACGGTATTCAACTGTACATAGAAATTAATAATAATAATAATAATAATAATAATAATAATAGTAATAGTAATAATAATGATCATCATAATGATAATAATAATGATATTATTTTTTACATTAGTTTGCTCTGGAAGTATTCACGTCCGGACAAGATCGAATGTGTAATTTCTAAAGATTGTTGCAGCAACAGGAATAATCGTAGTATTGATTACGCAAATTAACACTAATTTATTATATCCATAATCCAAATTAAAGACTCAGCTCCTTATGTGGCGTCAGGAGGCCCCGAGGCTCCGTGTGCGTCAATGGCCCATCAATTTCAACCCTTCCGTCCTCTTGGAAGCAAACGCATTGCCGGTAAACGGCTTGTAGTACTTTCTTCGTGCGATGACGATCTAATTTTTGGGCGGTGGCGGGGGCGAGGGTGAGAGATGGGCCGGAGACGGAGACGGCGATGGCGACGGGAGGGCGGGGGCGTAGCCGTTCCGTCCCATGTGCGTCAGGCGGGAGTCGAGTTGAGCAGCGCGCACGCAGTACTAGCATACGGGGGCGTCGCGTGCAACATTCAGGAGCTGGCGCGACATTATCAAAGAGAAGACCACGTCTACTCCCGAGGACGGGCATTCGTATTTTAGGCTCTTTTGGAATTCTGTTTCCGACCGTGACGCTCCGACCGGGACACCGCGTTCTCGCCGACCTCATCGTCATTGCCGTCGTCGTCGGTTGCGTGCGCGTCGGGACGAGTTACTTCGCCCGGTAGTCTACTTTTTCGACCGGCCTCGTCCCCAAGCGCAGCCGGCCACTCCCGCACAAATGATTGACGAACGCTCAGCCATCTGGGCTTCGAGCGCGGGGAGCGTGGTTAGGACGAGGTGGAAAAGTACATAGAGAGGCTGTCAGGGATGACAATGAAGGTAGGGGGTACATTTTGATACATACGCTTCTTTAAATAAGTAATTGGTGTGGGCTAGCTTATTGAGGGAGAATAAGCAATGGTTTTGTCATCCACTTGTTCATGGATTCATTTATTTGCATCTGAGCCTACTCTCATGAAAATGATGTAGTTGGGAGGCATGATTTTGTCGATAACATTTCTTTATATTTTTAACTACAGTTTGTTTAGTGTAGCTGATTAGGCGTGATTTTTGTTTAATAATAATTAATATTCGTTAATCAAATACTGATTTAAGTTTCTATACGAAATTGTTGGCAACGTTTTATTCTAATCCATGTCTGTGTCTGCTCAAAATGCCCATTTCCTTACGTATACCTTGCTGAAAATAGGCTCAACTTTTCACTCAGTGAAACCATCTGCCTTTTAAAAGTTCGTCTCTGTGAAGACTGCAATAGGATTTTGTCGAGAGGTAGTTAGATTGCGTTTTTCCTCTGACCCATATGCCATCGCGACGTGAACAGCATGTTTTCCTTTGAAGCGCTGTTCAAAAGGATAGAAATAAGCAAAGAGTTCCTCGCAGGAAAAGACGCTTTTTCTTGTGGCAACAAAAATAGGTGCATAATATTTCCTGTAGGCTCGTTTCCATTTTGCGTAGCTATAAGCACAAAAAGGAAGGATGTTCAACATTTTCCCCGGCTTAGACTATTGTTAC